ACCACGCCCGGCCTTCTTTAAGCATTTTTAAAAATTGCATTTTAGGTTTTGGGGTACATATGAAGAACACGCAAGACTGCTGCACAGGTACACACATGGCAGTGTGATTTGCTGCCTTCCTCCCCATCACCTATATCTGGCATTTCTCCCCATGCTATCTCTCCCCAACTCCCTACCCCCCGCTGTCCCTCCTCTGTTTCCCCCTGACAGACCCCAGTGTGTGATGCTCCCCTCCCTGTGTCCATGTGTTCTCATTGTTCAACACCCGCCTGTGAGTGAGAACATAAGCGTAGTTCTTAAAGAAGGAAGTGGTGATCACTAAGTCAGTTGAGGTTTTAAGCCAATTTCATTTTTTTTTTTTTTTTTGAGATGGAGTCTTACTCTGTCACTCACACTGGAGTGTAGTTGCCCCATCTTGGCTCATTTTGACCTCCACCTCCTAGGTTCAAGAGATTCTCCTGTCTCAGCCTCCCGAGTAGCGGGGGTTATAGGCATCTGCCATCACACCAAGCTAATTTTTGTATTTTAGATAAAGATAGGGTTTTGCCATGTTAGCCAGGCTGTTCTCGAATTCCTGACCTCAAGTGATCTGCCTGCCTTGGCTTCCCAAAGAGCTGGGATTACAGGCATGAGCGACCACACCCAGAATTTTTTGTTTTTGGTAAGGTTACTTGACTGGTAGAAAAGGGAAATCTTACAGTAGTGTCTTTTTAAAATTATTATTATTATGGCAAGTCATTTTATGAAATCCCTGGGAACAGATGGATAAATGTTCCAGATGCTAACCATATTAGGGGAGATCACTGCTGGCTTAAGAACAACATTGGAGGCCAGGCGAGGTGACTTATGCCTGTAATCCCAGCATTTTGGGAGGCCGAGGCAGGCGGATCACAAGGTCAGGAGATTGAGACCATCCTGGTCAACATGGTGAAACCCCGTCTTTACTAAAAATACAAAAATTAGTTGGGTGTGGTGGTGTGCACCTGTAATCCCAGCTACTCAGGAGGCTGAGTCAGGAGAATGCCTTGAACCCAGGAGGCGGAGACTGTAGTGAGCCAAGATCGTGCCACTGCACTCCAGCCTGGGCAACAGAGCCAGACTCCATCTCTGTCTCTTTTTTTTTTTTTTTTAAAGATGGGTTTTCACCATGTTGGCCAGGCTGGTCTTGAACTCCTGACAGGTGATCCACCCACCTCGGCCTCCCAAAGTGCTAGGATTACAGGTGTGAGCCACTGTGCCTAGCCCAGACTCCATCTCAAAACAAAAACAAAGAACCCACAAAATTAGCCAGGTGTGGTGGTGGGTACCACCTGTAGGATTAAAGGATTACACCTGTAATACTAACACTGGGAGGCCAAGGAGGGAGAATGACTTGAGGCCAGGAGTTCCAGACCAGACTGGGCAATATAGTAAGATCCTGTGCCTATTTCTTTAAAAAATTAGAAGATGAAAACAAAACAAACAAAAACAAAAACAAAACAAATAAATAAATAAAAAATTAGAAGATAAGCAATTACTCCCAAATCAGTGTCAAACATGATGGGGAAAACTCTATTCTTAACCACGGCCTATTCAACATATTTATCGAGGTTCTATCTATCTATCTATCTATCTATCTATCTATCTATCTATCTATCGAGACGGATTCTCGCTCTGTCACCCAGGCTGGAGTGCAGTGGCTCGATCTGGGCTCACTGCCACCTCCTCTTCCCAGTTCAAGCAATTCTCCCTCAGCCTTCCCAAGTAGCTGGGATTACAGGCACCCAACACCCCGGTCGGCTAATTTTTTTTGTATTTTTAGTAGAGACAGTGTTTCACCATGTCGGTCAGGCTGGTCTCAAACTCCTTACCTCAAGTGATCCCCCTGCCTTGGCCTCCCACAGTGCTGGGAATACAAGCATGAGCCACTCTGCCCAGCCCTCAAGTTTTTTTTTTTTTTTAATTTTTAAGATGGAGTCTCACTCTGTCACCCAAGCTGGAGCGCAGTGGCACAATCTCTGCTCACTGCAACCACTGCCTGGGTTCAAGTGATTCTCCCACCTTAGCCTCCTGGGTAGCTGGGATTACAGGACATGTGCCACCACACCCAGCTACAGCCCTCAAGGTTTTAAATGAAGGCAAATTAGAGATGTTGGCGAATATTTTGCCCAAATTGAAAGGGCTCATCTCTCTTAAACTAGGAAAGGGTAACTGCAGCTCATCAATTACTGCACTTAGCACATTCTTTTCACCTGGACTGTCTGACTCCTCCACTAGACAGATTGCAGATCTTGTTTTGGAATCCTCTAGGTTGGTGCTTTGCACACAGTAGGATGCTCAGCTAATTAAAAAACTTTTTTTTTTTTTTTGTAGAGATGGGGATCTTGCTTTGTTGCCCAGGCTTGTCTTGAATTCCTGGGCTTCAACGATCCTCCCACCTTTCGGTCTCCCAAAGCGTTGGGATTACAGGGGTAATCCCACTGCACCTGGCCTCAACAAATACTTGTTGATTTTACACAAACAGAACTGCATGAACAGATCATATTCCAAGACTCCAGGAGACATTAGGAAAGGATCCAAACTAACCAGATGCTATTTAAAAATTACAAAAAATAAATTCCTGTTGGAAGTTGTTTTTTTTTTTTTTTTTTTTTGAGACGGAGTTTCGCTCTTGTTACCCAGGCTGGAGTGCAATGGCGCGATCTCGGCTCACCGCAACCTCTGCCTCCTGGGTTCAAGCAATTCTCCCGCCTCAGCCTCCTGAGTAGCTGGGATTACAGGCACGCGCCACCATGCCCAGCTAATTTTTTGTATTTTTAGTAGAGACGGGGTTTCACCATGTTGACCAGGATGGTCTCGATCTCTCGACTTCGTGATCCACCCGCCTCGGCCTCCCAAAGTGCTGGGATTACAGGCTTGAGCCACCGCGCCCGGCCTGGAAGTTTTTAAAAAATACTAATTGCACAAAAGGACAGGGGAAATAGTTGACAGTGGTTCAACTAAAAAAGCCCCCCCTCCTTTTCTTTTCTCGAGTGAGGTGGCTGCAGATTTCTATGAAAAAATTAATTCTTCAGCTCCTTTATGGAACTCTGGATCTCCCAGCTATGCAGAAGGTTATGCTAGAAGCACGGCAAGGTGGAATGTACACATTTAAGGAAGGTTATTGCCCTGTGTTCTTTAGCATGGATCTGTATCTAGCACTGGGAGCCACGTTTTGTATTGCTTATTGAGAGAGATAAAAATGATATATACATGAATAACTAAAAAATCCGTGATAAATGCTAAGAGAGGTGCAAAGAACAATGAGATGGAGCTTTCTTGGGTTACACAACCAGGTCTAACGTTTCCTAATATAGAAGAGCTTTCAACAAACCTCTCAGGAAGACTGCCTTCAAATGACGTTACTTCCCCCAAATACCTAATTGCATTTATTTCAGGACGACTCCAAATGTTAGAGGATTTTTTGAGCTAAAATATACTGCCTTGTAATTTTTATTGGTTTTAGTCCTGCACTTTAGAGAATAAAGCTCCGTTATTTCCAATATTATACTACTCAGTTATTTGAAGACAGCTTCCAATTTCCATGTCCAACCCTTTCCCTCGTTATTCTTGTTGTTGTTTTTTGAGACGGACTTTCGCTCTTGACTCCCCGGCTGGAGTGCAATGGCTTGATCTCGGCTCATTGCAACCTCTGCCTCCCGGGTTCAAACGATTCTCCTGCTTCAGCATCCCAAGTAGCTGGGATTATATGGGATTATAGGTGCCCGCCACCGCGCCCAGCTAATTTTTGGAATTTTTAGTAGAGACGGGGTTTCGCTGTTTTGGACAGGCTGGTCTGGAACTCCTGACCTCAGGTGATCCGCCCACCTCGGCCTCCCAGTTTGGGATTACTGCTGTGCTCTGCGCCCGGCCTCCCTCGTTTATAAGCAGGTTAAAAATTCCTTTGAGCCTTCAACTATTTTCCTTTTCTTTCATTTTCTTTTCTTTTCTTTTTTTTTTTTTTTTTTTTAAGGAGTTTCACTCTTGTTGCCCAGGTTGGAGGGCAATGGCGCAATCTTGGCTCACTGCAACCTCTGCCTCTCAGGTTCAAGCGATTGTCCTGTCTCAGCCTCCTGAATAGCTGGGATTACAGGTGCGCACCACCACGCCCGGCTAATTTTTGTATTTTTAATAGAAACAGGGGTTCAATAAATAAAGAAACAAGAGTTCACTATGTTATGTTGGTCAGGCTGGTCTCGAACTCCTGACCTCAGGTAATCCGCCTGCTTCGGCCTTCCAAATGGGATTACAGGGGTAAGCCACCGCCCCTGGGGACTTCAAACATTTCTTTTTTTTCTTTTTTCTTTTTTTTTTTTGAGACGGAGTTTCACTCTTAAAGTTACCCAGGCTGGAGTGCAATGGCGCGATCTCGGCTCACCGCAACCTCCGCCTCCTGGGTTCAGGCAATTCTCCTGCCTCAGCCTCCTGAGTAGCTCGGATTACAGGCATGTGCCACCATGCCCAGCTAATTTTTTGTATTTTTAGTAGAGACGGGGTTTCACCATATTGACCAGGATGGTCTCGATCTCTTGACCTCGTGATCCACGCGCCTCGGCCTCCCAAAGTGCTGGGATTACAGGCTTGAGCCACCGCGCCCGGCTAAACATTTCTTATTTGACATGCCTTCAAGCTTCCTTACCACCCTAGTGACGCCGTCGCCCTGTTTCTCCTCCTTGCCACCCTTGGGGAGTAAGGATGAATAGCGGCGAATGCCAGAGGAAGCGTAGTTTTTCCGAAGAGCTGAAGGCAGCCTGTGATTACGACCTTCTTTGTTTTCTGACCTCCTAACACACGTCCGTAAGTATCACAAGACCCTGCAAGTCCCTCAAATATTCTTGAAATCTGAAGACCTTCAATCCTCCGAGCCCCACGACTCTCCCCCGGCACTAGGATCTACTCTATGGTAGAGAGCTCGGCCTTTCTAGCTGTCGAGTCCTCCGATTGTCCCATCTATGGTTTCGGAGGCCTTACCGGAAGCCCTCGTGTAGGGCCTTGTGGGAGGCCGGAAGTTGCGGCCTCATTACTCGCCATTTCAAAATGCTGCCGAGGCCCTGGGACCTGTGACTGCCACCCCTCCCCCTCCCCGGGCTCGACCGGGGAGAGATTCATGGAGCTGCCGTAAGGTGTGGCTCTTGGCCTTCGCCGGCGGGGTACCGGGAGCGGTAGCCGGAGAGTGAGGAGCGGGCGGCTGTACGGCCAGTTGTGCGGGCCTGGGAGCGGGGGTGGCGGGTGGGAGGAGCTTGAGGCGTGGGTCGGGCGGCGGGGGGAAGGCCGCGCCGGGCGGAAGGAGGACTCGGGGGGAGGGGGAGGGCTGTGGCGTTAGGGCTCGCGGAAGATGAAGGTGGGGGTGGGCGACGTGATGTCCCTGGCCATCTGGTGACACACCTGAAGTCGGCGTAGTTGGATTGAGTTTACGTGGACACAACGTTTGAGGGCCATTGAGGCAATTCAGAGAATAGAAGTGGGAGAGACGGAGGTGGGGAGCGTGGCATGGACGTGTCTAAAGTTTTCAAGTTCAAGGCTGCGGAGGGTCTGCCTTAGAGGCGCTTGAGTGCTTGTTTGAAAATGCTCGTGTTGGAGCCACACCGAAACTTCCAGACAGTATCGAGATAGGGCTCAGAGCAATCTATTTTAATAAGCACATCTCCCAGTGAATTTTGTATACCTGAAAGCTTGAAAACCGCAATTTTTTTTTATTTTTTTGAGTGGTGTTTCGCTCTTGTTGCCCAGGCTGGAGTGCCGTGGCGCGACCTCGGCTCGCTGCAGCCTCCGCCTCCCGGGTTCAGGTGATGCTCCTGCCTCAGCCTCGGGAGTAGCTGGAATGATTATAGGCGCCCGCCACCACGTCCGGCTAATTTTTGTATTTTTAGTAGAGACGGGGTTTCACCGTGTTGGCCAGGCTGGTCTCGAACTTCTGACCTGAGGTGATCCGCCCGCCTCGGCCTCCCAAAGTGCTGGAATTACAGGTGTGAGCCACTGCGTCTGCCCGAAAACCACAGTTTTAAAGCGACACCTGGAGAAAATGCTGCAGCTGTGTTCTTTCATCAGGGAAGATCATTGTTAAGGAGTGCCTCCAAGCCCTAGGGTTGTTGGCACGTGGAACTAGTATCTGTCAAAGATACTTGCAACCTCCTGGTATTAAGTATGACTATATCTCAGTTTAGGTTTAATCCTCTCTTTCCTCATAACGTACTTTTTTTTTTTTTTTTTAATAGATGAGATTTTGGCCAGGCCTAGTGGCTCACGCTTTTAATCCCAGAACTTTGGGAGGCAGAGGGGGCAGGATTGCTTGAGTCCAGGAGTTCGAGACAAGCCTAGGCAACAAACTGACACCCCACCTCTGCCAAAAATCAGCGAGGTGTCATGTCTGGAGCAGGCGTCCCCAAACTTTTTACACGGGGGGCCAGTTCACTGTCCCTCAGACAGTTGGAGGGCCGCCACATACTGTGCTCCTCTCACTGACCACCAATGAAAGAGGTGCCCCTTCCTGAAGTGCGGCGAGGGGGGTGGGGTGGGTGGGATAAATGGCCTCAGGGGGCCGCATTCGGCCCGCGTGCCGTAGTTTGGGGACGCCTGCGGCTTTCTAGTCCCAGCTACCCGAGAGACTGAAGTGGGAGGATCACTTGAGCCCAGGAGGTCGAGGCTGCAGTGAGCCGGGATGGAGCCACTGCACTCTAGTCTAGGCAACAGCCGGAGAGCCTGTCTCAAAAAAAAAAGAGATCTCACTGTGTGCTCAGGCTGGAGTGCAGTGGCTATTCACAGAAGTGATCATTGCACACTACGGCCTGAAACTCCTTGACTCTGGGGATCCTCCTGCCTCAGCCTCCGGAACAACTGGGAATACAGGCACAGGCCACCACCTGCAGTTGGTGTTTTTAACGTTCTCTAAAAGTCCCCCCACTTTAATCTTCCCTGTCGCCCCAGATCCTGTAGAACCTCCTACATTCTGGATTTGGCTAATTAACCCCTTGCTCTCCATTTTCCCTACTAACTCGCAGTTAGTAGGTATATCTAGATTTGGATTATTTATCTTTTGGTCAGGAATACTTTATAGGTGGTGTTCTGGTTTCCTGTTGCTTCATAATCAAGTATTATATGGTGTGTGAAAGACTCTCTTTTAGTGATACGGTTGCGGAGGGTGGAATGGTCAGCCTACTCCATGTGTTTTCTTTCCACGCCAACCTTTCACTCATGGTTTTAGCATCCCCTGCCCTGACACTGGTGTGAAGTGGTGTGATCTCGCCTCAATGCAATCTCTGCCTCCCGGGTTCAAGCGATTCTCCTGCCTCAGCGACCCAAGTAGCTGGATTACAGGTCTGTGCCACCATACCCAGCTAATTTTTGTATTTTCTTTTTTTTAAATCATGGGTAGTGATCAAGTTTTTTTTTTTTCCTGGATGTATGCTAAGCACTTTTTTTCTTTTTTTTTTTTTTTGAAGACGGAGTCTTACTCTGTCACCCACGGTGGAGTGCAGCGGTGCGATCTCGGCTCACTGCAACCTCTACCTCCCAGGTTCAAGCGATTCTCCTGCCTAAGCCTCCTGAGTAGCCATTACAGGGGCCCTCACCACGACGCCCGGCTAATTTTTGTATTTTTAGCAGAGATGGGGTTTCACCATTTTGGTCAGGCTGGTCTCCAACTCCTGACCTCAGGTGATCCGCCTGCCTCGGCCTCGGGATTACAGGCGTGAGTCACCGCACCCAGCGCCTTCAAACATTTCTTATTTGACATGCCTTCAAGCTTCCCTACCACCCTAGTGACGCCGTCGCTCCGTTTCCCTCCCCAGCCACCCTTGGGGAGGAAGGATGAGTACTGGCGAATGCCAGACGAAGCGTAGTTTTTCCAAAGAGCTGAAGGCAGCCTGTGATTACGACCTTCTTTGTTTTCTGATCTCCTAACACACGTCCATAAGTATCACAAGACCCTGCAAGTCCCTCAAATATTCTTGAAATCTGAAGACCTTCAATCCTCCGAGCCCCACGACTCTCCCCCGGCACTAGGATCTACTCTATGGTAGAGAGCTCGGCCTTTCTAGCTGTCGAGTCCTCCGATTGTCCCATCTATGGTTTCGGAGGCCTTACCGGAAGCCCTCGTGTAGGGCCTTGTGGGAGGCCGGAAGTTGCGGCCTCATTACTCGCCATTTCAAAATGCTGCCGAGGTAGGACCTGTGGCTGCCACCACTTCCCCTCCCAGGGCTCGACCGGGGAGAGATTCATGGAGCTGCCGTAAGGTGTGGCTCTTGGCCTTCGCCGGCGGGGTACCGGGAGCGGTAGCCGGAGAGTGAGGAGCGCGCGGCTGTACGGCCAGTTGTGCGGGCCTGGGAGCGGGGGTGGCGGGTGGGAGGAGCTTGAGGCGTGGGTCGGGCGGCCGGGGGAAGGCCGCGCCGGGCGGAAGGAGGACTCGGGGGGAGGGGGAGGGCTGTGGCGTTAGGGCTCGCGGAAGATGAAGGTGGGGGTGGGTGACGTGATGTCCCTGGCCATCTGGTGACACACCTGAAGTCGGCGTAGTTGGATTGAGTTTACGTGGACACAACGTTTGAGGGCCATTGAGGCAATTCAGAGAATAGAAGTGGGAGAGACGGAGGTGGGGAGCGTGGCATGGACGTGTCTAAAGTTTTCAAGTTCAAGGCTGCGGAGGGTCTGCCTTAGAGGCGCTTGAGTGCTTGTTTGAAAATGCTCGTGTTGGAGCCACACCGAAACTTCCAGACAGTATCGAGATAGGGCTCAGAGAAATGTGTGTATGTGTTTTGAGACGGAATCTGTCACCCTGGCTGGAGTGCAGTGGCGCGATATCCGCTCACTGCAACCTCCACCTCCCTGGCTCAAGCGATTCTCCTGCCTCAGCCTCGGGAGTAGCTGGGAGTACAGGCGCACGCCACCGCACCCAGGTAATTTTTTTTTTTAAAATTTTTAGTAGAGACAGGGTTTCACCTTGTTGATCGGGCTGGTCTCGAACTCCTGACCTCGTGATCTGCCCGCCTTGGCCTCACAAAGTTCTGGGATTACAGGCGTGATCGACCCCAGCCAGCCCTAATATTTGTATTTTCAGTAGTGAGGGGGTTTCACTATGTTGGCCAGGCGGCTCTGGAGCTCATGGCCTCAAGTGATCTGCCCGCCTCGGCCTCCCAAAGTGCTAGGATTACAGGCTTGAGCCACTGCTCCCCGGCCTGCCATCTCTTGATGACTGTTGAATAGGTGACATTTAACCTGAGACTTTAAGGTTTAGGATGAATCAGTTTTCTGCAAAACTCACAGTGCTCCAAATGAATGAACAATGTGTGCAAAGGCTCTCTTCGATAAACTGAAAGATCAGTGTGGCTGAGGCTTAAGACTGAATAGTGCAAGGTAAGGCTGAAAAGGTGCTGAGGCGCTAGACCATGTGTTTTTTTTGTGTGTGTGTTTTTTTTTTTTTTTTTTTTTTTTTTTGAGACGGAGTTTCGCTCTTGTTACCCAGGCTGGAGTGCAATGGCGCGATCTCGGCTCACCGCAACCTCCGCCTCCTGGGTTCAGGCAGTACTCCTGTCTCAGCCTCCTGAGTAGCTGGGATTACAGGCACGTGCCACCATGCCCAGCTAATTTTTTTGTATCTTTAGTAGAGACGGGGTTTCACCATGTTGACCAGGATGGTCTCGATCTCTCGACCTTGTGATCTATCCGCCTCGGCCTCCCAAAGTGCTGGGATTACAGGCTTGAGCCACCGTGCCCGGCCTCATGTGTTTTATCTTACAGCAGTAGCAAGCTGTTGACCAGGCCCTGACACTATAGGATTCTTTTTTTCGTTTTTCCTTTTTATTGAGACAGAGTCTTAAAAATAGTGGGCATGTGCCACCATTCCCAGATAATTTTTGTATTTTTAGTAGAGGTGAGATTTTACCATTGTGGTCAGACTGGTCTTGAACTCCTGACCTCGTGATCCACCCACCTTGGCCTCCCGAAGTGCTGGGATTACAGGCGTGTGCCACTGTGCTTGGTCAGAATTTTTTTTCTTTTAAAAATGCTTTTGGTTAGCTGGGCATGGTGGCGCGTGCCTGTAATCCCAGCTACTCAGGAGGCTGAGGCAGGAGAATTGCCTGAACCCAGGAGGCGGAGGTTGCGGTGAGCCGAGATCGCGCCATTGCACTCC